TATTTGGGGGCTATTATCCTTCCCAGACCAGAATCAGACATAACAACCAACTATAGTAAGTGAAAAGTCGCTTCATAGATTGAGCTGCAGATTGAAAGAAGACCTAACATAAACCAAGAACTGGGGAACAAATCACAGGCCTGGGACAACTGAGCCAGAGGTGATTTTACATAGTAAATAAGAAGGAAGGCATCCAAGAGAGAGCCAATAGCTTGAGCAAACCATCTCTCTCTCTTTTTTTAAACTTCTGTTGCCAACCCTCAGTCCAAAGTACCTTCATCTTTCCTCCAAACTCACAGTCCTTTCTTTATTAATTCCCACATCCACTTTGCCTCCTTTCTAGTCTGTTTTCTACATGGCAATCAGGGAGCTCCTCAAAATGATACAAAAAAAAACAAACAAGTAGGGAGCAAATCTTGCCATGTCTCTGCTTGAAATCCTTCAGTGCCTTGAATTGCAGTAGCATAAAGACCATCATTCTTAACAGGGCCCATAACCCTGGCCATTCAGACCCTCTCCTTCCCTGTGCATCTTAGCTCTGACATTGTTCCTCTTTGTGCTGTGATCTGCTTTCCAGCAGGAAAAAAGACCTTGTTTTATTTTTTAAACTGAGATATGCCTCACATGTAATAATATGCACATAAAATATCTATCTAAAAATAGATGATATTTTTATCTATTCCAAACTCATACGCACAACTCAGAATAGGATCGGGAACATTTTTATCACCCATAAAGTTGCTTATGCATCTTATTAGTCAATGGAACTCCCTCCAGAAGTAACCTTTTTTTTTAACACTGCAGATTAGTTTTACTAGTTCTTGAATTTAATCAAAAGGGAAAAATGTAACACATATTACTTTTTTCCAGCTTTTACTTCAATAAGCCTAATATTTTTGAGATTTACCCAATCACCAGTTTGTTCATTTTTATTATTGTGCATTATTCTAATGTATAAACAAACCTTAATTCCTTTATCATGCACCTGTGGATGGGCATGTCATTTCCTATTTGGGGCTACTCATTTTTTTCTGATTTCTTTAATTGAGATATAATTGACATGTACCATTATGTTATTTTCAGTATTTGATATTGGTGTATATTATGAAATGAACACCACAATAAGTCTAGTTAACATTCATCACCACACATAGATACAATTTTTTTCTTTTTATCAGAACTTTTGAGATTTACCCTCATAGCAGCTTTCAAGTGTACAAGGCATTATTATTGACTATAGACACTGTGTTGCACCTAACATCCCCAGGACTTCTCTCATAACTGGAACTTTGTACCTTTTGACCCCCTTCCCCCATGTGGCCCCACCTCTGGCTACCGCCCATCTGTTCACTGTATCTGTAAGTTTAGGGAGCTTTTAGCTTCCACATATAAGTGAGACATACAGTATTTGTCTTTCTTTGTGTGACTTACCTTACTTAGCATAATGCCCTCAAAGTCCATCCATGTTTTTGCAAATGGTAACATTTCCTTTTTTTGTAAGGCTGAATTATTTATATATATGTAATGACAAGTGTTGGAAAGGATAAGGAGAAAAGGAACACAATATACAGGAAATATATATATATATATATATATATATATATATAATCACATTTTCCTTATCTATTTATCTACTGATGACCACTTTGGTTACTTCCATGTCTTAGCATATTGTAAATAATGCTGCAATGAACTTGGGGGTGCAGACACCTTTTTGAATTAGTGCTTGTATGTCCTTCAGGTGAATACCCAGAAGCAGAACTGCTAGATCATATGGTAGTTCCATTTTTAATTTTTTGAGGAACCTCTGCATAGTTTTTCATAGTCATCTTACCAATTTACACTGCCACCAACAGTACACAAGCATTCCTTTTCTCCTTATCCTTATCAACACTCGTCATTTCTTGTCTTTTTTATAATAACCATTCTAACAGGTATAAAGTGATATCTCATCATGGTTTTGATTTGCATTTTCCTGATGATTAGTGATGTTGAGCACATTTGTCTGTCTTCTTTGGAAAAATGTCTCTTCGGGTCCTCTGCCTTTTGGGGCTGTTATGAATAAAACTGCTATGATTTTTCATTGTGGCAAAAAGCACACCATGGTTACCATCCAAACTGGTTTTGATTGTACAGTGACTACTAGTAACTATGTCCATTGCTGCACCACACATCCCTGGAACTTCTTCACCTTGCAAAACTGCAGACTCAATACCTATCAGACAGTTGCTTCTCTTTTCCCCTGTCTTCAGCTCCTAGCAACTACCATTCTCCTTTCTGTTCCTAAGTATTTGACCATATTAAATCCCTCATATAAGTGGAATCATGAAGTATTTGCCTTTTTATGACTCAGCTTACTTAGCATAATATCCTCAAGGTTCATCCATATTGTAGCATATGACAAGACTTCTAGCTTTCTTATGACCAAATACTTCAATGAATGAGCGTGCAATTATCTCTTCAAGATCCTGTTTTCAGTTCTTTGGATGTATACCCAGAAGTGGAATTGCTGAATCACATGGTAATTATATTTTACATTTTTTGAGGAACGTAGTCTCTTTGAAATTTTTGCTCAAGTTTTTATTTTGTGAACACAAATGCACAATTGCTCGGATACAGACTTAGAGGTAGCACTGCCAAGTTGTAAGGGAGCCATATGTTTTACTTTGCAAGAAACTTCCAAAGTGCTTTCCAAAGGGCTATGCCATTTTTCATTCCTACCAGCAATGAATGACAGTTCCAATTGCTTCATATCCTCACCTCCACATTGTGTAATCAGTCTTTATAATTAAGCCTTTCTAGTGAGTATTCAATGGTATCTCATTGTGGTTTCAGATTTTCTCTAAAGAGCCATATTCTTGTTCACATCAGGCCTTTTTGGCACATACCCTTTCCTCTGTTTGGATTACCTTTCTGTCTTCCGTATCCTCCCACTAACCCTATGCTAACTGCTCCATTCTTTTCCACTTATACTTTAGAGCCCAGCTCAAATATTTCTGCCTCTTTTGGAAAAGGTTCACTGATCATCAATCCCAATATTAGGTCAGATCCCCCTGTTATGCTTTTTATGCTTCCCCTGTAGTTCTAATACCTAGAGCAGAGCCAGGGTGCATTTTATACACTCAGTAATTATTTCTTGAGTCCATGAAAAATTCTGTAAACTGAGGCATGCCAGCCTTTATGGAGATGTGGGACTTTGAAACAAGCCCTTACAGCTGTGGGAAGGTAAACTATGACAGCCACGCTGAAAGGCGATAAGCTACCAATTCAGACACGCAAGACGTATGACATAGTAATCCTGCTCCTGGAGGTGGATCCTGAAGACATTCTCCCCCGAGGTCATTAGAGTACATGGACTCAGAAGTCCGCTACCACCTTATTAGTGATGGGTGGATAGGGGGAGTCAAACCCGGCCCTGTGTGGGGAGCATGAATAGTTCAAAGGTGGAGAATGTACACAGTGGAGGTGTCACGTCGCACGTGGCAGCTACAGACTGGAAAACAGAAGTGCAGTACTGAGTGAGAAAACTCCCCAAGGTGAATTATGCCTGTGTATGTAAAAATCAAGTTTACATGAAATAAAAAAAATATATGCTCATAAAACAGTAACACATCGGAGAATGCTCTATGGACAAAATCATGTACAAAGCAGCATTAGATTGCATGCCTTGGAAAAGGAAGAGGAAGTAAGAGATAGGGGCTAAGTTATATCAATAAGAGAAGTGCCTTACTCAATAATATCACTGATATTAATTAACAAATACTGTTTTAAAAATCATAGGATATGAAATGCCCATTTAAGGGAAAATACAAGAATTTAATTGTACGCTATCTCTTATCCCAAATTAAATTATCTCTGCTCTTTATTTGCGTAAATTATTATAAGCCAGAGAAAACCGCCATCCACCTGCATGTGGCATTTCCCTGTGGTGGCCTATCATGTCTCTCTATCTGGTGCTGTTCAACACAATTTTATGCCTATGTTAGATGATGAAGGGACAGCTCCAAAGTATTAAATAAATAAACAAACATGTCACAGTGTTTGTTGTTTACGAGTCAGTTTTACCTCCTTTGTTTTTCTCACCTGCACTAATTCTGTAAGAAACATCTTTTTCCTCCTGGCCTTAAACCTGCAACCACAGCTTCACGGAAATGCAGTCATAACTTTAACTGTCACTGAATTAGCAACTGCCGAGCTCAGACCCAAACACAGTTCACCCTGCATCTGAAATTCCAGTGCCATTCCCTCAACAATCCAGCCACCCTCATGTACGTGGATTCCTACTACAATTTGTCCTTTTGGCTAAATCAAAAAATCATTCTAAAAGTTTGCCTTTAAACACCCTCAGAGTGTTACTAAATTAAGGTTAAATCTCAAGTATAAATTTTCAAGCAATTAGTTTTGGTTTTACCCGAGCAGAACACCCCACAGATGATGCCGAATAAAAACTATTTACACAGTACCATAGTGCCTTTCAAAAGTGTTGGGTCTGTAGCAGCGATTTGCTAATCAAATTCAGAATCTGATTTGAAATGCCTCCGGCAGGCAGCCAATCCAGTTATGAAAGAACAGAAGCAAAAACCAGAGCCCTGGTGAGTTCCCCGCAGAAGCTAGCTGGGTCCATTGCTCTAGTGAGCACACTGGTTCCATAGGAAATCACTGCAATTGCTTCTAAAATAAAATATCATAGTTAATTTTTTTCAATAAATTATTGGACTGTACTAGACACAAAACATGTACATTTTGGAATCTAGAGTTATAAAATATTCTGACATGTTTTAATATAAACAGGAACATTTCCAATGATTGCTTGGATCTAAAATGTTTTTCCACTTGACATTTGTTTATACTTCCTAGGAAAGAAACTCTATTTATGGATAACTGAATAACACAAATAAACATTAGAAAGAGCTGAAAAATCAGCTTTGATTATGCATGAAAATCTACAATGTCATTGTGTACTCTTCTGCCGTATTCTGATTGCCTGTTTATTTTTACAGAATCTCGGGTGAGCCTATGGAAGAAGAGCCAGCCTTGTGAAGTGCCAAGTCCCCCACTCTCCCCCCGCCAATATTTCCTGTGTGTGACATCATTGTGTATGCCCCCCACCCCAGCACCCTCAGACATGTCTTGTCTGCTGCCTGGGTGGCACAGATCCGATGGAATATAAACACCGGGCACAAAATTCTGAACAGCAGCTTCACTTGTTCTTTGGATGGACTTGAAAGGGCATTATAGATTCCTTAAATGTAACCACTGTGATTCTAAAGTTACAGTAAACCACGATTGGAAGAAACTGCTTCCAGCATGCATTTGATATGCTGGGTGACCCACTCACTCCCAGGCCCAAAATATAAAGTAGAAACAGCCAATACAGCATTAGATCCTGTTCATTACAAATGCTATCACAGCCAGTGAAATTTGGGGCAAAACCTAGGAAATACTTGTTCCTGACATTCTAATCAGTTTTTTTTTTATTGGATGACTTTTTGTCAAACAGCCTCACATTGTTTACAGGATTTGCTTTCAGCTATGAACAGATAGCAATTCCTGACAGATCGCAGGGATTTTGTTTTGTTTTGTTTTGTTTCTCTTTTGGCCTTGGTTTTAACACATGGCTCAACTCTTGCTGGTTACGAGTTCAAGATGGAGGGACTGGGCTGAGGCGTTTTCGGTGGAATAAACCACACTGCATCTCAAAGTCCAAATGCCAAAGGAACCTCAGATGCTGTGTGTAATGGTGCAATATTTCATGTCACCTTTTCAAAAATTAGACCTGATTTCCCTAACATCCCTCCCTGTGTTCTTACACACACAGGACACTTGCAGCTGGATTTGAGGGTGAGCTCTCTCCCCCCCCCCCCTTGCTCTGATGGCAGTAGTTCTGGCATATGTTTGTGGAGGATTTCTGGCGTCTTTGAAAACTTTTCAAAGGTGGTCTTCATCTGTTCCATTCTCTCAAGAGTTTATTCTCTCAATTCTCTTTACCTGCCCTACATCACTTCTTTTTTCTTACCTTTCATCCATCCTTCCTATAGAAAAGCTGAAGATTACCCATAATCTCCGCAATTGCTCAGGAGCTTTGAGTATTGACTTTTTTTTAAAACTTTTGTAGGTTAGCACAGTGCTTGGTCTGATGTGTTCTTATAGCTGTGAAATCATTGAGGTGAATATGGCTTAAACAATGTTACTGAATTTTCTAGATCTTTGAAATGTGTTAATGAAGGCATTGCCTTTTTGATCTCACCTTGAATTGAGTTAACCTTGAACTTGTATCTTTATGCAAAAAAAAAAATCAACGACAAACTTAACCTTTGCACATGTGGCCTTAGTGTCAAAGACTAAACATGATGGACATTTATTTGTAAAATTAAAAGTAACTTACTAAATATGAGTAGGTTACCTCCCTACCATCCAGAATTCAACTTCAGTGTATAACTCGAACACATAAATGCATTACTATAGAATACCTCGCAGTATTTAATATCTGACAATGCTTTTGAAAGAGTTGATGTTTCTTTTTATATATTTTCCTAACTCAAAGGATATATTAAAGCCATAAGTGAAGATTGTCATGCTTTTATTCAGAAATTTGAAAGAAACCTTAATTAAAACAAGGCTTTAAGGAAGGCCATGATATGAAAGATACGGAACAATATGGTTTTAGTTAAGGAGGACTCTAACCTGTAAATCAAAGATGAAAGATTTCACTCAAGTAGAATTATATAACTCCCTTTTGTGATACAGTCAGACCATATTTTTCATTCATATGGTTTTTTTAGGATTACCATTTTAATTTTAAAGACTTTTATTACATATACAAAAATGGCTCAATACTTGGTTTAACATCTTAGAAATTTGAGATGCCCTTTGAAATAGGAAATCTAAAGTGGAATGTAACTCAGTATTAGGTAAAAATTACTTTCATTGAATAAAAGAGTAAGGTCAATCTTGATTCACAACAGTAACAAATTTTTTATAAAAAAAAGTCATGATATTTTCAGAGAAGTTCCTGCCAATCATATTTGTTAGCTCTTGTTATTTTTCTGTAATTCCTTGAAATTTACTTAAATAAAACCAAATAATGGAGCCAAGGGGATTTTTAAAAGGCTCCCCTCTTTACAACTAAAAGTTATACCATTTTAACCAGAAACATAATTGTGACTATTTAAAATAGATTGATAATTATAAATCTCTATTACTTCTTTCACTCCTCCCATATATTTGTAGATGCTATGTAAAAAAAAAATGAAACAGCATGCAAACATACTCATTTACTGATGTTTTCTACAATAATTTTGCTGCATTTTTATGCACAGCCATGGGTCTGATAGAGCCAAATCCCTAGGATATCTCCATGGTTATTTAGATTTAAAACACAACATGTTAACAAGTTAATTCTGCATCTTGCTGTGTGATACTGTACCCAACTGGTTGCACAGAGAGTCTCTAGAATATACAGAGAGGCAGATAAACTATGAAGAGGATTAATCACAGCAGAATGTACTTGTGGGAACAGAAGGCAGTGCTTTCTGATTATACCCTAACAAGGTGGAGTGTAGCCCTCAGGAATAGAACAGATGCTTTGGGAGAATAGTAACATGTCCTGGAAATAGCCAGCACTTTTCAAAACCATAGTGTCAGTTGTAGTTTTCTTGACTAACCTATTTAAATTTTATTGCTCAGAACAGTTACCAATATGAGGTTATTAGAAGAATTTGTCCTAAGCTTTATGAACAGTATATATTTCTGATGCATACTTTGAAAGATAATCACATAGACTTTCTCACAATCTCACAATAACTCACACATGGGGAATAAAGCATTTTAGAGAAATCTATTAGTAAACAAGGCTAGGAGTTCAATTTAACAAGATTTGATTATAGGTACAAAAGGAAATTAGTTTTCTCAATTATATAGTACAACCTAGGTTTGTATATTAAATTGAAAAAAAAAACAGTTTTATTAGACAAGTAAGTGACCTCAACCAGTAATGGAGGCTATTTAATCATGCTTTGTAAGTTGGAAGAGTATTTTGAGATAAAATATTTTAAAATATTTTAACAAGTTTACACCACCAATAGTGGAGATGGAAGTCATCTTTCGGAATAAACAGAGATCCTTATGAAAAACCACTACCAATCGCATTTCCATTACCAATCCTAGGAACTGACATCTTGCCTTTACCTCTCTATGACAACATGGTGGGTTTGAAAACAGGACACCTCACACGAGGTTTCAGAAACTATGGGGCTGGACTCTGTGAAAAGCTCAGTGCTGTTCTGTTTCTTGAGGTCATTCATAAAGCTGTGTAGATATCCTGGGTTTTGTTACAGACTCCACATGGGAGTAAAATGAATGACCCTGTGGAAAGTCTCCTGCAAGACTATTTCTCTCTAATCAGTACTTTATATTATTTTTTTATCCCAGCATTTATGTGTAGGGCAATTTATTTAAATATTTCTTCCTATTTATCTTTTGAAAGTTTCCTCTCAGTTTGTTTCATTACTTTGTAATTATTTTGAAACTCTTGAAACTATTAAATGTTTAATAGTCACGAAACAAACAGGCCAAAGGTTTCTGCCTTAAAAGTGATTCATTCTGAGCTTGAAACAATCACTCTGTCAGAGTTTGACATTGTCGTTTCTGGCAGCATCTTTCTTAACATTCCTTTCCTGCTTCAGAAATGAAATCACTTGACGTGCTGAGAAAATAAGAAAAAAAAAAAGTAGGAAACAACATACCTGTCCAACTCTTCCACAAAGAGGGTCTTTTCAGCTCCAAAAGAAATGAAAACCAGATGATCTCTGCTAAGAAATGAAGGCATTTGATTGTGGTCTTCAAAACTGATCATCAACGTGGTTGTGACCATCATCAAATATTTCTTGAGTCCTCGAAGGACACAATTACACTTCAGGCTCCAGTGGTGTTTTGTACTATTACCTGCCTTTTCAATGAAGTATCATGAGTATTACATCACCTTCATCACACCATCGCTAAAATCCGGAAGTGCCTGTGTAGGGCTTCTTTTCCTGGTCATATTTTCACTGGAAATCATATGGACCCTCACCTCCTAACGGCTTTCATGTAATCCATCAAATGTTTCATGGAGCGCAGCATGAGTGTCCTGTGGCCAGAGTATACATTTTTTAGATGAACATGGTATACTCAGAGACTCTAGAGCTTGGTTACTTCAAACCAACTGCAGTCCAGATTTTTTTTTTCTGTCATATGTACCTGGCTTGTTTTGTATAGTGGTTTATGCAACAATTGAGTCAGCTATTAATAAGCTGGACAAAGCTCGATCAGACAATCGAACCTTCAACAACTGATGTTCTGCTGTTTGGACTTGATCTCTATGACAGAGTAAATAGGGTTGTAACAATTTCTCAAACTGTCTTAATTCTCAACCTGAAACATTTAGCAAATAATATGGTGAATTCACCTTACAGTGCCAATCACTCTAACCAGTAATTTCCTTCCCACTCATCTCTCCCTCCCCTGTTCAACTGCCAATACCAAATTGCCACATCTAATCTATCAGAATAATTTTCTAAATCTCTATGTTTCCTGAGTAGAAACAACCTTGGCTATTTATTTTTTGAGACATCACTAAATATATTTTCTTTTCTGTCACTTTATATAAACACTCTAGTACCATAGCTACTTTTTATCTTCCTTTTTAAGAACCACTTCGCTTTTTTTACTATTCTTATCTTAAGAGGTAGATCAAGTTATTGTGTTCTGGTGTACATTGTTGAACCTGGCACCCTGTGTGACGAATAGAGAACTTCTCTTCTTGTCGCCAGTAGATTTTCTGCTGTTCTTGTCTCTGCCCATTGTGTTGTGCTAGTTGTCACATAAAGGGTTGTACATTTTACATTCTTGCCCTTTGGGTAATGTCTTTAGGAGTCAAACCCACAAGCATACACTCCAAACTGAAGAAAAAATAGCAAAAGAGAAAATTTAAATTAATGCAATTTGGAAGCAAGATATTTCCAGGCTAGTCAAAGGAAATTGAGTCCTTTTATGTTTCTGTTTGGGCCTTAGGCATACACTGAAGGCAAGTGTTGCAACACCAAATCAAATAAGGAGGATCCAACGATGTTTTGTGAGACCTTGTGGTCACATCCTTTCGGCTTCATTGTGCAGCCCTTTTTGGGAGTCGGCATTTTTTGACAATTGATAGAGGTCTTGCAGCAGTTTCTGGCTATGGCTTTTATTAACTTAAAATTGAGTAGAAATGGAATAACTTTCTTTTAAACTTAGGAATTAAGAATTCTAAAATCTGAGGAGGAATAGCAATTTCCTTGGATATGCAAACATTGTTTTTAGATAAAAAAAAATCTCCATATGCTCCTTTGAAATTGTGAGATGTTCACTCTCTTTGTGGATAAGCAATGCCGGTGTCTGTCTTCACAACAGCTGAGTTATATGAAGTTGCCCTTTCGGTGGTTGCTGGACAGAAGGAGCATGCTGTTAAAAATGAGTGACTGTTTAGTAGATTATAGCGTAGGCAGTTTGTGTCATTTGAAAGCAAATACCCTGATTTTTTAAGTAAGATGGGCAGGGCAGGCAGGAATCCAATATTTATTACTCTTGTGATTAAACTCTCTAAGCCAGGCTTGATGTATATGCCAATAATCTGGAGTTCCTGGCTTAGGGTACAATTTAAATGTCTTTTCTATCGTGGTCTTCTATCTGTTTCTGTAATAAGATCAGCGTGTTGTCCTCTGTGCACCAGTGGTTTTGCCCTTAATTTTTTTGGCTCGCCTTCACCAAAATCTGTCATCCAGTGCTGCTGAGAAAGCCACGTGTTGCCAAACCTCTTTTCTGAAAATTGTGCTGCCAGTGGTGTTTTCCCAGATGTGAAAAATAATTATCCAATAAAGGATTAATACTTAATAACAGTACTATGATTAAACATTTTCATGCAATGTTCACCTTCTTTCTGATTCCTTTTCTGTATTTGAAAACATTAAATGGAAAATTCAATGGTGGGTTCCAAATCGTTGCTGATGTTGTTAACATGCCTCTCCTTCAAAGCGGACGAAAGATTCCCTTCTGTCTTGTGTTTTCTACTGAATTACATTTTCTTCTAGTCCCAGTGTGAATAAAAGCTATTTGAAATAAAAGTGTTCTTCTTTTTCTACCCTTGGCGTCTACCATTAGACTCTAAATACTAGATATCTGACACATATTCATTGAATAAATAAAATACTACTAATGATAAGTTACTGTGACATACACTATTATTCCACTTTCAAAATACGGAAGGGTTACTTGCAAGTAAATCCCCAGTTCAACGATGTGAGAATTCACACACAAAAAAAGTAAATGAAAACAGAGTTGCTACATGAATATAATTTGTGGGTCAGGATAAAGGATAATAATAGAGGCCCTGGTGGGGTGGCTCTATTGGTTGGAGCATTGCCCTGTATACCAGGAGGCTGCAGGTCCTATTCCCTGTCAGGGCATCTGCCTTGGTTGCGGGTTCAGTCCCTGTTTGGGATGAGTATGAGAGGCAACCAACAGATATTTATCTCTCTCTTATTCCTCCTTCTTCTCTCTCTAAAAATCAATTAAAAATTTCCTGAGATGAGGATTTTTTTGAAAAAGAAGAAGAGCTAACACTCATGAAGCATCATCCATTTGCTTGTTACCAAAGTTAGGTTATTCACTACATGAACCCCACATCATCTATTATTACTCCCACCTACAGATGAGAGCATGGAGCATGGAAAAAGTCAATTCATTTACTTATGGTTGCAGATAGTAAAAGAGAAAATTGAGTCCTTATCCATGTCTAGCTGTAAAGTGTGTTTTCTCTTCAAACAGCATACACTTGTCAAATGTCAAAGATGATATGCTAAAGATATGCTTAAACTATAAAAACTATGACTAACCTTCCGTATAGACTAAATGCTCAATCTCCGCCAATCTTATGATTTAATAAAATTATCATTTTAAATGGATCTAGTAACTGTGATTGAGTTCGTATAGTAAGTACAAGTTACAAAACAGTTCTTTTATTTCCATTTCAACATCTTTCTTTAACGTAGCCAAGAACCCTAAGATGTCTGTAGAATACATATTCCAAAAATTCTTGAAATCTATTCCAAGATCAATACTTATTTTTGTATTTTATAAGCTCCTACAATGTTAGCATTTCAAAATATAACCATTTCCAGTGGACAATGGTTTGTGTTTCTTCTGGGAAAAAAATAGTAATATTTTGTCTAACAAAAAGTAAACTCGAGATGGAGTGGGTAGGTAGAGTCAGTTTTAATGGTAAACACCACTAGTTTAATCAGACTTGTCAACTGGCAAATGTTGCTTCATGGTTCTTTGTTTCTTTTAAGTTTTTGTGGTGAAAAGAGGAATTGAAAAAGTGGAGTATGAGTAAAAAATGAGAATGAATGTGTTATTGTTATTTTTAAAAATTAGTTTGCAGCCCTGAATGGTATGGCTCATTGGACTGAGTGCTGGTCTGTGGACCAAAACGTCGCTGGTTTGATTCCTAGTCAGGGCACATGCCTGGGTTGCAGGCCAGGTCCCAAGTTAGATGTGTGGGGGAGGCAACTGATGGCTCACACATTGATGTTTCTCTTCCTCTCTTTCTCCCTCCCCTCCCCTCTCTCTAAAAAATAAATAAAATCTTTTAAAAAAATATAAAGTAGTTTGCAGTTAAAAATAGAATTGTAAGGAATTTTCTTCGTTACTTAATACTTTGAGTTACTCGGAGTCTTCTATATGTTGTAATTACTGCTTAGCTTTGTAATAGCAATATCAATTTTTAAGACCATCCCAGGGTACCGATAATGGATTATTACCCACATATCTTAATAAGAACTTTGGAAAACTTATAGCTATTCTTTTAAATGTCATAGGAATAGAGGAATAATATTCAGGGAAAGAGGTGCATGGATTCCTCTTCTTTAACCTTTTAAAAACTGGAGGTATAATAAATAAAATGAAATAGAGATTGTATTTACCTTAGCTCAAGTCACCTTTAAAGTTCTTAGTGTATCTTCAAAAGACACTATTAACTTTGTATTGAAAGCATACACAGTACGTTAAAATCTGATATAGTTCCACATATAATTTTGCTTTTTCTTCCAAAGTAAGTTTTCCAAAAGAATAAGATATAAAAACTTAAGATGTGATAAAGTAAATGAATTTAGTAATGTAATAAAAATAAAATTTTAATAACAGTTAATCATATTATTCTTTATTGGATACTAATACTTTATATATATGTGTTAAATGAAGTTGTTTCTTTTAAGAAGGTATATTTTTACTGTACAATTTTTAATTTTTCTCCTCTCCAAATATTTGGTTATTTTAGTTTTTTATTTATTCTAAAAATAAAAATATTGATAGTTAATTAAGCCCAAACCCTGTGCTCACATTTAAATCTCAAAATACTCCTGTGAGGGCAGTAATTGAGTAGAAGAGGAAATTGAGGCTTAAATGCCAGGAATTTTTAAAAACTCTTCTTTACTGCTATCCAAACTATCTTATTTAATATAGTGAATATTCACTGAATGCCTACTATATATCACATATATTCAGTATTATTCTCATAATAGCATGGAGCCTGGCAAGAAAATTGGCAATCTGACTATATAAAAGAAATTTCATTAAAGCTCTCTCTTATATAGCTGCAAAAGAAATATTACCACAGGATAGATTTTGGGTTTAGAATCGTGTGTACTAAGGCTTTAAAAAAGGTATGACGTGTTTTCTTTCTCCACAGAATTATAACAAACATAGACTACATTAAAATATTTGTTCTCTAACTTACAGGTAATTGTTATTTTACTTTTCTATTATATTTATATTCAATATTATTATGTATTAGTTTCAGATGTACAGCATATCAGTTAGATGGTCATATACTTTAGGAGGGGGGCCCCTTGATATTCCAAGGACCCACCTAGTACCATACATAGTTACTGCAATATTACGGATTACATTCCCTATGCTGTACTTTACACCCCCAGGACTATCTGATGACTGCCAATCATAGTGTTTCATCTCTACCTTTTTTACCTGGCCACCCACCCAACACAGTTACACATAAGTATCTTCACAGTAAGATTTGTGCAAAGTTCTATCAAGAGAGTAGATAGGATTTAGGGTGTTTGTTAATGTCCATTTCATTTCTAATATCAACCTTCTTTATGTCAGCATTCAATTGAAAGTATATAATGCTGAGAATTAGAAGGATAGAAAATAAAATTTATAGAGATTCAAAAAGTTCCCTTACAAATTGTTTCTAAGTTGCAATCATTTACATATCTCTTATTTCTTTTCTTAAATTTATTATAATTTTCTGTATATTGAGTGCCAGATAATCAAGTTCTTCAATAACTATTTCTGCTTTCATTTGCCCATTAATGAAACAATTTCCAATTGATTTTTACATTCAAAGTACTGATCTTGAAAAGCAGTACCTTCAGTGATTTTCTCAGGCCTCAAACCCCGATAGACCATAACATCCTCATCAGACAAAATGCATTCATAGACAGTTTTGTTTCGGTGCCATTAAAACTATGAGGCCATTTGAAATTTTAATTTCTCCAGTTGAAAATTCAGCCTATATTTAACTAATAAGTTATCATTTAGAATGGAAAGACAGATAAAGAGGTACCTAGACAAGACAAAACTTAGAGGAGTTCATCACCATCAAACCAGTATTCAAGAAGTATTAAGGGGTCTTTTTAAAGGAGTTCATCATCACCAAGCCCTTATTGAAATGTTAAGGGGACTTATCTAAGTCATGAATAGATCAAAGCCATGAATAGCAAAATAACAACAAACTCACAACTATGTTTTTGTTTTAGATTCACAACTGAACCTAAAACAAAAACAAACTAAGTAAACAACTAGAAGAGGAACAGAATCACAGAAATGGAGATCACATGGAGGGTTATCAGTGGGGAGGGGAAGAAGGAAAATTGGGGAAAAGGTACAGGGAATAAGAAGCATAAATGGTAGGTACAAAATAGACATGAGGAGGTTAAGAATAGTATGGGAAATGGAGAAGCCAAGGAACTTATATGTACAACCCATGGACATGAACTAAGGGTGGGGAATAATGGAGGGAAGTGGGGTATATGGTGGAGGGGGATGAAGGGGAGAAAATATGGGACAACTATAATAGCAAAATCAATAAAATATACTTAAAGAAAAAATCAAATTCAATATATTCAAAAATAAATAAAGGATCTTCTTTAAAAAAAGAAAATATGGAAGATCAAAACATGAATAATAAAATGCCAATAAATACATATTTATCAACAATTACTTGGGATGATGAAATCTTGCCATCTGCAATAATATGGATGAAGCTAGAGGGTACAGTGCTGAGTGAAATAAGTCAGGTAGAGGAAGGCAAGCACCATAAGATTGCACTTATGGATTCTGAAAAACGAAAACAAAACAGAAACACACTCATAGACAGAGAACATTCTAACAATTGCCAGATGGGGGGGAGGTTGGGGTAATGGGGGGAAAAGGTGAAGGGATTAAGAAGTACAAATTGGTAGTTACAGAACAGTCATGGTGATGTAAAATACAACATAGGCAATATAGTCAATAATATTGTGATAACTATGTATGGTGTCAGATGGGTACTAGATTTACTGAGGTGACCACTTAGTAACTTATATAATGTCTAATCACTGGGTGGTATACCTGAAACTAATATAATATAGTATGTCAACTGTAATTGAAAAATAAAAATTATTTAAAGTGAAAAAACTAAAAAAATAAAGTGCCCACTTAACTTAGGATCAGTTTTCTTAATCACACATTTCTACATTCCCCTCACAGAATATAAAAGCCTTAAATTGCATTGATTTCTATATACCATATTTAATCTTATATCTCATTGTTGTCTAGTATTTAGCTTCACTTTTTTTTTAATTTATTTTATTTTTAACAGTTGTTGCTACATATCAGTGATTATTAACATTTTTTCTATTTATAACAATAATAGTAAGTAAATAATTATTGACTTTTATCATGTTTACTTATTTCTTTGCTTGATAATTTTATGTGCACCCTATTTCTCTGTTTTTTCAGGCTTGGAGTAATTACTTTTTTT